GAGGAGGAGGAGGAGGAGGAGGAGGGTAGGATATGGAGGAGGATGAGAAGGAGGAGGAGGAGGAGGAGGAGGAGGAGGAGGAGGAGGAGGGGGAGGAGGAGTCGGAGGAGGAGTCGGAGGAGGAGGATTATGAGGAGGAGAAGGCGGCGGAGGAGGAAGAGGAAAAGCAGGATGATGGTGATTATGCTGATGATGATGGTGAGGATGCTGATAATGCTGATCATGATGCTGATGATGATGATGATCCTGATGCTGATGCTGATGATGATTATGATGAAGATGCTGATGCTGCGGATGATGATGCTGCTGATTAGGATGATGTTGATGATGCCGATGATGATGATTATGATGATGATGTTGCTGCTGATGATGATTATGACGATGACGATGACGATGACGATGATGATGATGATGATGATGATGATGATGACGATGATGATGATGATGCTGATGCTGATGATGATGATGAGGATGATGATGATGCTGCTGCTGATAATGATTATGATTATGTTGATGATGATGATGATGATGATGATGATGATGATGATGATGATGATGATGATGATGATGATGGTGGTGTTGTCGATGATGATGATGATGGTGACGGTGATGGTGATGATGATGAGGAGGAGGAGGTTCAAGAGGTTCGGGGGGTCCTGGAGTGGTGTGTCGGGGTGGCTTGGGACAGGGAGCATTCACCACCACCACCAAACCCAGGCCAGGGTCCATGTTCCATGTCGATTCGACCGATCCGATTCGATTTCGCCTTTGGCCAGGCGGGTCCGACTCGATTCCTGCCGCATTGGATCCGCCCTGTTGCGGCCCGATGCTTTCGTCGCGCCGTCGTGCATCCTCGCGCGGCCGATCCGATTCTGTCCCGACTCCGTGCGGGTGCCGCCCGCTCCGACGCACGCCGATATCCAGCCCGACCTCCCGATCCTCAGGGGCAACGTAAGGGGGGGCTGGCTCAGGGGTGGGGGAAGAATCGAGCTGGAATCGGCGATACATCGCCGTTGTATCGGCGATGGGCCCCCGAGTTAGCGACTCCGCACCTTCCTGGGCGGGGTGGGCCATCTGGCTACCAGCGATCCATGGGCTACGGGGGTCCATGCGCCCGCCCTGAGTCAGTGCCCCTGTTCTAGTACAGTGTGCTCGTGGCGCCGTTTCGGTCTTGGGACACTGTTTCGCTTTCGTTTGGCGGTCACGTCGATTTCAGCCACGCGCCTACTTCCGCCGCGCGATTGGCCTGTGCGCGCGTTCGTGGTTACTCATGGCGCTCGGAGCCTCGCATCATCTTAAACATTGCCTCGCTGACGAAAGTACAGAGCGTTGTCCTCCAGATTCGATGCTGTCTGGCCCTGCCAGTCCCAGTCTCGAGCACGCGTTCGTTGTTACTGATGGCGCTCGGAGCCTCGCATCATCTTGAACATTGTCTCGCTGACAAAAAAACAGAGCGTTGCCCTCCCGATGCGATGCTTTCTGACCCTGCCAGTCCCAGCCTCGGGCGCCCTTCCCCGGAGGCGAGCCGATGCACGTGTCGCGGCTGACGAGGGAGGGCCAGCTGAAGGAGCCGACGGGCCTCGCCGTGGACAGCCTGCGCCGGCTGCTGTTCGTGGCCGACCTCGGGGCCTCGGCGATCGTGGCCTTCCCGCTGCGCGTCGCTGGGCGAGCAAACCGAAGCTGCAGCCAAGATGCTGCCACGAGGAGGAGGAGGAGAAGGAGGAGGAGGAGGAGGAGGAGTAGGAGGAGGAGGAGGAGGAGGAGGAAAGGAGGAGGAGGAGGAGGAGGAGGGAGGAGGAGGGAGGAGGAGGAGGAGGAGGAGGAGGAGGAGGAGGTGGAGGAGGAGGGAGGAGGAGGAGGAGGAGGAGGAGGAGGAGGAGGAGGAGGAGGAGGAGGAGAGCAGAGCAGAAACCAAAGCCAGCAGGGCTCCGAGCCGCTCGTGCCGCTCGGGCTCGGAAGCTGCTTGCTGTTCATGAGGTCCTTCGGCGGCTGTTCCTCGAGCGCTCCTCGCGCACCCAGTCGCTCTCGGGGCCCAGCAGGGCTTCGGTCCTCATGTGCCGGTCCTTGTGGCAGCGCGATGCGACGACCGGCCACCGAAGCTCTCTCCAGGTCCGTGCGGGATTCCTGTATCGGCGCGCCAGGGAAGGGGGTCCTGGCGCCGATCGCGGACCTCCGCGCGGACCCTCGGAGTCTATGTGCCTTGGCATCGCTCGGACGTGTGCATTCTTCGCTCGGCGAGGACAATCGAGGAGCATCCCTGATCATTTGGCGAAACAAAACACGCACGAAACCGAACAATGCACGGGAAGTGGACGTCCGAGCGACGGCAAGGTGCCTGTTCGGCTTGTGCTTCCGCCAGGTCACGTCGGGAAGGGTGCTGGGCCTCGACGGGGACCCCCGCGTGATCCTCGGCGGCGTGAGCTCGCACGGGGTGGCTGTGGACTACCAGGGGTCCTCGTGGACAAGAAACACACACACACGTCGGTCGCTGAAAGTAGGTACGTCTGGATTCCCAGATCCCAGTCTACTCTAGCCGCCTTCCTACTCCAAGAGTCGAGCGGTTTTCCCTCCTCCCTCCTCTTCAGGGGGCGGGCGGAAGCCCAAGCCACTTCCAACGCCCTCCTGCTGCATGCTTCCACCCACTTCTTCCGACCGACCGTATCCACGGCCTGCCGGGCCCCTGGGCCGCCACCCCGTGGATGTGGGGCGTTGCTTCGCGGACGTCCCGCGCGGAGCGTCTCCGTGCGCCCGCGTATCCCAGGGGATGTCGCCCCCGGTGCCCCAGCCGCGAGGGCGTGGGTCCGAACATGCGCGCGTCGCTCGTGAGGTCCATCTTCTGCACGGACATCACTCCCGACGGCAGCCGCATCCTCATGCTGTCGGGTCAGGGCGTTGCCAGCAAGCTGCGGGGCGAGGAGCTACCAGCCTGAAGCATATCCAGATCCCCGCGAGTGGCAGCGCCCCATCTCGATGCCGATTCGGAGGGGTCCTTCAGTTTCGGAGGGCGCATCTCCAAGGTTGTCATCGCCCTGGGGCTTGTCAGACTCAGGGAGGGATGCGCTCGAGGCTGGTTGAGGAGGGCGGCTCGGTAGTGGAGCTCTACTCCGCCAAGGCCCTGGCGCCGGTGCTCCGGGGGCGCGCCTCTCGCTCAGCAGCCTCTGGCCGATCCCCATCCCCACTGGGCCGTGGTATCTCAGCTCCCGCGCGCCCCTCGTGCCGGGCAGGGGGTTCCCGCGCCGATGCCAGAAACCCGCGCGGATCTCCGAAAATCCATGCTTGTGCAGTTCTTCTTTTCCGGCGCCAGCCCACCCTCCCTGGTGGGGATTCGAGTAGGGGTTGTCTACAGAATTGATTTCCCAGCATTGATTTTCTCGTCGACTCATACGTATAATGCTCGTAGACTAAATCTAGGGCGTTCGACACAAGTCTCGTGGGTTCGACGAGCAAATCAATGTTTAGGGTCGACCCATGCTGTAGTCCATCCCCTACTCGAAAGATAGGCCCCATGGAACACGATGAGAGCAGCAGACATCCCCACTCTAGGGGGGGACATGTCGGCCACAGAGGCCGTGGCCACGCTCCCAGACATCAGGCGAGTTGCTTTGGTCCCGACGGCGTCCCTGGATGTAGTTTTCCCGTCCCAGGTCCATTTCTGATGGCCCTGGGGCCCGAAAACTGCCCCAGGGGGCCGAGATCGAGGAACACCGCCGGGACCGAACAGACTGTATCATCGAAGATCTCAGCTAGGGCCGACCAACCCTGGCCTGAGGGGCGCCGGTGACAGGGACGAGCGTCGTCTTGCGGGTCTCGGTTTCCACCATAGCGCCCTCTGGGGGAGGAGCCCGGCGCCCCCTTCCCCAGAGGGTTTCGAGGGTTTCGGATGTCTTCGTCGGTTTCTTGAGTTTTTGTTCCCGCCTCGGGGTTGATCTCCAGCAGCTAGTCGCCTCGCCGAGAGCGTTTCGAGGGGGGCCCAGAGTCGTCCCGAACGGCCGCCCAGGCCAGAGTTGTGGCGTGGAAACCAAAGCTCCAACGGTTTTGTTTTTCAATCCTGGCTTCGGCCACCCACTTCGCACGACATAGATATTCGCAGTGTTGCTGTCGCACTATTGTCGGCACACCTTATATCACCCCTTGGTGCCGATGGGTTGGGTACGCCGCAGGGTTTTTGATCCTGTCGTTTCTCTTCGATCTCGGCCTTTGGGTCCCCTTGATGGGTAGTAGTAGGGGCCACCAGAAACGAATCCACGGAGATGAAGAGCTGCCCCCCCCCCCACCCCCCCCACCGGAGGAGCGGTCGGGACCTCCTTGGGGCCGTGCCTTGCCTTGGAAACACCACACGGTCGGACGTGCGGGGTGTGGTGGTGGTGGTGGTGGTGATTTTGAGGAGGAGGAGGAGGAGAAGGAGGGGGGTAGTCGTAGTAGTAGTAGTAGTAGTAGTAGTAGTAGTAGTAGTAGTAGTAGTAGTAGTAGTAGTAGTAGTAGTAGTAGTCGTAGTAGTAGTAGTAGTAGTAGTAGTAGTAGTAGTAGTAGTAGTAGTAGTGAGTAGTAGTAGTAGTAGTAGTAGT